AAGGTAATTTTTTTTTATTTTTATCGAGAGTATTCTTAGGTAACTTCAGTTATCTATGATGTAATTAACTATAGGGGCTTGCCCTTATAGGAAGCTTTTCCCGAACCCAGCATAATATAAACCCTATTTAATTCCTTATATTAAATAGGGGAACTTGTCGGCCAATACATTGGTTTCGCAGACCAAACGGATGTCATAACTTTCTTTAGTTTATTTGATCGAGCCTCACTCTCAATTCTTGCGTTCATCCTTCGGGATAGATACATGATTTGAGATAAAGCGCTCTTTCATCTAAACTATGAAAATTATGGGGTCAGTTTGACTTCATCTTTTTCAAAACTAAATTTTTAAAAAAACGTCCTTCCGAAGCGGGCAACGGGATTTCAATTCCGATAACCGACAGCTTCTTACGGGCAAACCCCACACCAAAAATAGTGCCGACAGTGTCATTATTAGTTGTTTTCTGTTTTCTGGGGGAGTATTGAATCTTCGTACCAAGTGAAGTTGATAATCCGTTGCTCTACAACTGTAAGTTTTCTAGCATACATCATTTTAACATCACCTGTGGGAAATATCAATCCCACCACTGAAGTACTTGCGAGACTTACTACATGGCTACTAGACACAATATTTGTGACAACAGAGCATCCCACTCCAACACCCATCAGCAATCATGAAGCCAAGAGTAACATGCTTCTTCATCTTCTCGCCTTGGAAGACGTTATCCTGCCAAAGAAGACGTCTCGGGTCCTTCTATAGAAGACTGAATGCATAAAATAGAGGAGTCTCAACTCGAGATCCTACAGTTTCTACGTAGGGCTCAACAACCACTTCCCACAATGTTAAATGAAGTTCATTTATAATTAACTCAACAACCTAAGGGAAACACACTACTCAGAAGAACTCATATCGACCCCCTCCCCAAGAAGAAACACTTCCTTTGTCAGGTTGCGATGTTGAACTCCTAGATGTTGCAAGTTTCCCTCATCCATCTCCCATAGCACCTGACACTGCCATGCCTTGCTGCTACTCCAAATGATGCCATTTGTAACGAGCCACAACATCTCGTCAAGGAAGAGATCCCCTCAGAGAAAAAGGCTTCAAGCTTCTGAACATCGACACTTACGATGGGATAACTGACCCCTATGAGCATATTGATCACTATCAAATCATCATGCACATTCATCGTATCTTTGATGCGCTTCTATGTCAAGTATTCCCGAACATTCTTAAAGGACAAGCTCACACCTGGTTCTACTCTCTGTCATGGGGCACTATAAATACCTTTAACAAGCTTTTCAGACTATTCACAGAGCAGTACATTGCAAACTAACAGATCATCAAGGATTCTTCCCATCTCTCGAGAATTCACCAAGTGAAGGAGAGTCGCTCAAGGGCTACTTCTACATGTTTCCACTAAAGCCCATCAGATTCTGGGAGTGGATCCATAGTTACTGAGAGGAGTTCTCCTTGGGGGCTCCGCCCAAGACATTTCTACTAATCACTGATGTGGAAGAATGTTTGTTCTAATGTTGCTCTTGTTCACGGTGTTGCAGCCCAAATCACTACGGATGAGGCCATCAGCGTACATAAGGAGCATTTTGAGCAATTTCGGGGAAAGTGCAACAGTAATGCCAAAGACAATAATTAATCTTCACAATGGAGAAAACCAGAACAACAGAGGAATCATGACCTCCTTCTCCAACCTACGAGCCAATGAAGTGAGCATTGACCTAAGAAAGAGTATACACCACTCAACACATCACATGCTAATGTCATGATGACCATCAAAGTGAGTAAACTAATAAGTTGTCTTGCCCCCTGAAATCTAACTCGAGGAATCAAGAATAATATCGTCATTTTCATCAAAGTCATGACCACACCACTGAGGCATGTAGGCAGCTCAATGAAGAGATTGAAATGTTAATTCAACAGGGATAACTTGGTCGATTTGTGCAAAATAAAGCAGTTGGTACTTATAATGCTCTCACTGAGGGAAACATACATAAAAGCAACAACATGGGGGTCACCCAGTCGTGAGCGAAATTCAGACAATTGATGGAGGCCCATTGCTGATCGATCAAGTCCTTATCACTGCACCTGATGGAGGAGCTATACAAAAATAACTTTTTTACATGGAGATCTGATGGAGAACCTATACATGGTGAAACCACAAGGTTACAAGGTTTCAGAAAATGAAGGTTTTGTCTACATATTGTAGAAGATTCTTTTTGGCTTAGAGCAGACCCCAAGATAGCGGTACATAAGGTTTGACAAGTTCATGTCAAACAATGGGTACTTGAAGTGCCAGACAAACCACTTGCTTCATCAAACACTTTAGTAATTATTATATCTTACTTCTCTTGTATGTGGAGACATGCTGATTGTAGGGGCAGATATGAAGAAAATCATGGACTTGAAAAAACAATTATTCAGTGAGTTTGAGATGCAAACATTTTAGTAATTGTTATATCTTACTTCTATTGTATGTGGAGACATGCTAAATGTATGGAAGAATATGGGGAAAATCATGGACTTAAAAAAGCAGTTATTAAGTGAATTCGAGATGAAAGATTTAAGTCCAATTAGGAAAATCCTCACGGTGAGAATTGACAGGGACATGAGTTCAAGAACACTTAATATGTTGAAAAAATCCTATAGAGGTTCAACATGAGTGAGGTGAAATTAGTTAGCATCCCTTAAAAAGTGACTTCAAACTATCTATGAAGTTATCACCTAAATCTGAAGTAAAGCAAGCAGAGGTGGAGAGAACTTTGTATGTTTTAGTGGTTGAAAGTTTGATATATGTGATGACTTGTACTTGGCCAAATATTGCATATGTAGTGGTAGTGATCAGTTGATACATGTGCAATCCAGACATATATCATTGGAAGGAGGTTGATTCTCAGATATTCGAGGGGAACAATCAACACTGCACTTTGCTATGGAAGTGAAGGGATCAATCTATAGAGATTAGTAGATTTAGATCTGACAGGAGATATGAATGGTAAAATAGTCCAATGGAATATATCTTTACATTGAAGAACACAACAATGAGTTGAGTTTCAAAGTTGTAGAAGAACATTGCAACTTTCAACTACGAAGGCCTAATATATTGCTATCACCGAGGCTGAAAAGGAGATGATTTGACTACAACTTTTGTTATCGAGTTTTTCCATGTTAAATTCTTATGTTCATTTCTAGTTGTATTTATTGTAATTCCATTTAGATGTTGTTCTGATATTTTCAAATCTTATGCGATCTCGTTGTTCTATTGTAAGATTTAATTTTTAATTGATTTTAAGCCCCGATAAATTTTGAAATTGTTCTTGTTATTCCTATAAGAAAATCCATCAGGAATGTTTGACCAAATCCAAAGTTGTCTATTGAAACATTATCCTATGTCAAAGAGGTCAAATAAAATTCACCAAAATTTTGTACTATACAAAATTGTTTGTCAAATTTTTACTCAGAAGTGTCCTGATAGATATATATATATATATATATATATGGGGCTTGGTAATATATATATATATAATTTCCAATATCGAAATCATTTTTTTTTTTATTTTTTTGTCATATACTATTAAGACCAGTGGCTATCAAGCCAACATCCGATCAAACGGGCTTCTTTGGGCTGCAACTACGATTTTCTATACAATGATACTTAAATGATTAAAATTTATTTAATTTAATTCAAGAATTTTTAGTTCGATTTAATATATTTTTAAAATAATTAATATTAATTAAATGTCATATATCAAATATACACACAAAACATTTTACTTCAATATACTCGCGTCGCCAGTGGGGATTCGCCCCCCCACTCAAGAGGTCTTACACCAAAGAAACCAACCAACATGCCAACCAACATGCCAAGTTACGCAACACAAAAAATTATAGTACATAGAAATACAACATAATCTTCGAAATAAGGTCATGAAAAAAAATATATATAAATATTTGAAGGTGTACTCCTCGCCTTCATAGCATTTCAAAGCCTTATGCAAGAAATATACAAGGAAAAATACAATTAAAATAAAAAAAATATAAAAATAATATTTTTGGTAAAACCTTATAAGCCTAAAAAGTAAATTAAGATTGAGTGATTAACCACAAAATGAATAAATTGAAGCAAAACAGAACACTACTAAAACTGATCTACATCGCCTATGAACAATTCATTCCCTATGAATCTATGATACATCAGCCCATCAACCTGATCTACTACTTAATGAGAAAATTATAAAAATAAACAAAATTCAAACCTTCCAGAAACATAAATTTCTAACTACAGAAATCAGAAATGATTCTATGTTAGAAGCAGAGAATCACACCATTTCCAAAACTTTGATGTTGCCACTTGAATTCGCCGCAACGAGGGTCGATGACTGGTCTCGCCAGCACACACAGGAGATGAACTGGTTGGCATCGTCGTCTTCGAGGCCGGAGAATGGATCAACGCAGCCAAAATTGTAAGACATGACAGGCATGGGGAAGGCTCTTTGATATACAAAAACCTGAAGGGGAAGCAAGCAGAACAAGTAAATGGAGCAAACAATCATATTTGAGGATATAATATCTTTGCATATGAAGAGAAAATGAACTACTTTACACATACAGAAACCACTAAAAATTCTCTTACATATCTTATCTAACACCTAAATTTGACATTTTACGTTTATACCGCCCAAATCTTTCTTATCAAGTAAAAAATGCTACTATTTTAACTTTTAACAAGTGAAACACACCATTTCATGCACGGGTAAGATGACAAATAATGTAAAAAATTAAAGTTTAGGTGCTAAATATATAAATAGATAAGAATCAAGTGATATGTATGTAAATCTTCCTAAACATTAATGTTAAAGCAGAAATCCTTACTTCATTTGTTTCCGAGCCTGTAGCAATATAGCCATCAGAAATGGAGAGGCCCACGAAATTCTGCAACAAAAGTACAAGTTATTATAAGAAAAGTTTAAGGAGTCTGCAAGTAGGAGTGTAAACGAGCCAAACACGAGCGAGCCCGAGCTCAGCTCCTGTTCGGCTCATCAAAAAATATCACTGTTCGTGTTTGACTCGTTTATATTTCGAACACAAAAAGTGTGTTTGTGTTCGGCTCGTTTGCTTAGCGAGCCGAACACGAGCTGTTCGCGAACTAAGAGTCGTTCAAAAAACCCTAATCGCGCAGCCGTAGGATGTTAAGGGCCGGGGCAAGATTTAAATCTTATTGTTTATATTAAAATATCATTTAAATATAATTTAACATATTTTTATTTTTATTTTTAATTAATAATTTTAATTGATTATAAATCGTTGTAGCCTTGTAGCCAATTAAATTTTTTAAAAATACTACTATATATAATTGATGAGTAGTATTTCGAGTCAAAACAATCCGAACACGAATGAACAAATCTTTATTCGTGTTCGGCTCGTTTATATATCGAGCACAAAAAGAGTGTTCGTGCAACGAATCGAACACGAGCTTCTTAACGAGCCGAACACGAATTATTCGCGGACAATGAGCCATTTTTACATCCCTATCTGCCACTGCTAAGTTGAAATACTAATCATAATGAACATAACAAAAGAAATAACATTTTATGGTCTAACAAAACTTAAATCAATAAGTCAAACTTATATAGCCAAGTAATTAAAGCAAGAGGAGGCTTGTAAGGATTTCAACTTAATAACTTTATCAAGATAAGAAGAAAATTAAAATTAGGTGACTTTAAAGAAAATTTCATCTGAATGGATTTAGAAACATATAAAGCATCGCCATATAGCATTTAATACCAAGTTAATGAAATTTAACATACCTTGACATTTGTATGGCCTGAGAATGTCTGAGCAGGACTCTCGATCACCCTTGATGAGCTCATCGACAACTCCCACAGCTTTATCGTGTTATCCGTCGACGAAGATACAAGAACCGATGAATCCAAGAACTTAACATAGCTCACAGTCTTAGCATGTCCAACAAACGTGCAAAGAGGCAATCTTACGTTACGCAGATCGTAGCAGTAGGCATTATGATCCGCTGAGCCAACCCCGATTATTCGTCCGGAATCAGGCGAAAACTGAACCGAGCACACATTCGCCTTCGTTCTAATAGTACCAATGCTTCCTCCCTGTATTGTAAATCACACGAAAAAATTCTCGCATAAAAAGATTAAGTTTCCATGCCATAGATGCTGTGATTAGTATTCGTTTTAAGCTGACATACGCAAAGTGCAAGAGTAAAAATGCCTGATTAATATTCCAGAGCTTCACGGTACCGTCATCGCTTCCACTAGCCAACATCATCGGGTCTGTTAGCGAGTAATCGACGGACCACACTCGTTTCTCATGCTCCCTCATTTCAACGACGACTTGGCTTCTAGTAACATCCCATATCTATTAAGGTTCAAAACTAATATTACACAAAAATTATAGAAATGATGATATGCATACATACCAGCATATCTAACGCCTAAACTTCAATTTTTACAGACAAGCCACCTTGCCTATGCATGAAAATGTATATTTCAATTTATTAAAAGTTAAAATGGTCATATTTTTTATGTGACATGAAAGATGTGGGTGGTATAAATGTAATAACTAAAGTCTAGGTGTTAGAAAATGCAGCAAAAAAGAGCAAAAGCAATGTAACAGCTTACCTGCACCAACCCTTCAAAGTCACTAGAAGCTATCTGACTCTTGATATAACTATTCCAGCAAACATTGCTGAGTTTTGAACTGCACGCCATCTCAACCACGGGATAATGAATATCGCGGTCCTCATTTATAACTGTGTGGTACTCGAAAACTTTGATCTTTTTATTTATGCCGACGATAGCAAAAAAATGTTTGTCTCGATCGAAAGCCAGGGCGCAAATTAAATTAGACGAGTTTAGCAGGTCTCCTTGCCTAAGTTCAGCACAAACTCTAAATTTGCTAAATGATAAGTATTTGCGCAAGCCATCAAGAAAGGGATTAATCCATCCACCCATTCTACTTCCACTTTGGGCTTCCTTAGAAACCAAGTCATCCACCGAACTCGCCTGGGTTTGATCGGTTGATCCTCTGCTATTACTAGTGAGTAGTAACTTTCTGCTTGCAAGTTTGCATGTTGGTTTTTTCGTCTTACTTCTAGATGAAAAATAAGCTGCCTCCAAATTTTTCAAATTATTCATAATTCGATCATTTTTCGAAAATACCTTGCCTTGGTTCTCTTGGTTAGCCTCTACACAATTACTCACATCAAGCCTTTCATCAACAAATTCCTTACATTCTGTTTTGCTTCGTTTTTGAGATCGCATGGAGGTGGAGTCATCATCAATTTCGGAAGAGGGTAATGGAGTCTTTATTTTATCGACAGATGAGTGATCGCCTTTCTCTGCTCCAAGAAAGTGGCTTAATTTCATGACCGTGGACCTCTGACCTTCAATTTCTCCTAAATCACTGGAGAGGATGCAAACATTGTCGTGCAACTTATTAGCGGCTTCTTGCTTTGTTCGTTGGAGCTTCAGAAGGAATTCGAGAAGTAACTCGTCTTCTTCGATCTCCTCGTTCAATTTAATGGTGACTTCATGATCTTCTAAGCTATTGTTTTTTTCATTCAGGAACTCGCTTTGTAAAACATCACTGCAGTGCATGAGAAATATAGTTCCAATCATAGCAATCAAAAAAGGAAATTATAACAAATGATAATCTGGACTAATTCAAGTATAACACATAAGCACATGAAGTACGCATGAAGATAGTCGTAATGATATCGAACATGATAGTTGTTGTATTTCTTACGGCCGAAAGCCATAGAATTTACACATGATAACTGTAGGAAGAAGAAGTTGTGGGAATGCTCCCAAAGCCTTTGATGATGAATTTGGTTGAAACCATATTAGGGAAGATTGCTTTTCCTTTTGCGGAAGATTTCCGTGACTAATGACAAAGGTTTATAATTTTTAGATCTGGAGTGTTTATATTTTCTATGGGCAAAAATTTTTTGATTAATTACAATCCAAAGCATAGGCATTTCAGACACTCCATTAATGACATCACATAAGCTCCAAATCATAAAATGGCTATTTGAATGAAATTTTTGAGAAAAAACGTCTAAATCAATCAAGCATAGGCTTCGTCCTCCCAAGCAAACCAAGTGGTTTTCATTCTTAGAGCACTCCTTGATGTATAATCGTAGTCCATGCTAAGCATTTGACTCAAAAGTTGTTTATGAGGGCCAATTCCTCATCTTTGGAGGTAATTAGACCATGTGGTAAAGAACTTCATGTTATGTCACCTGTTATCTTGTAAAGGGATCCTTTTGTTAAGCCCGGGTTTCGAGTAGCAGCTCAACTCACTTGAAATAAATGTCTTTAATATGAGCTGGAGTTTATTCTACCTGAGCAGCTTTAGGCTAAAACAAAAGATTGATAGTTTGCTTGATGGTTAGTATAACTCAGAAAAAGGCCTATTATATTTTGGAAGGATGGGTTAACAGAATGGGGCTCACAAAATGGGAGCCAGCCCATCAAAATTACTCGACTTAAAGGGCTTCATGGCCGCTCAATTAATTTGGTCATAGTGGTCAAGGTGGACTTGTGAAATCTATGTTTGTTCAATTTACTATCTAGATATGCACTTCTATGAAAAGTCTAATTGATTTATGGGGCTTGGTAGCCTTTATGTTGACCTAGCTAATTTGTGAACTAATTAGCATCATGCTGGTTAAATGTAATTTGTGGACTTGCATTGGTGAATCAACATACGTTAAGAGAAAAAATGTGTCAAGTTTGGCTTACTAGTTTGGTATTGACTCGACTACAGTGGCTTGTGGATGTAATGGCTTTGTGTTGACTTATGATTCTTATAGAGTTTTGCAAATCTTAACAGCTTCTAGAGGATAAATCACTTTATACCGTGTGAGGCTTGGATCTCCTACTTGGCGATTACATTTAAAAATAGAAAACCAAAAGTATAAAAATTTGAAGCACATAAAAGATAAATGAATATTTACAGAGATAGAAGCTAGAGGAGATAAAACAAAAAAGAAAAAAGAAAAAATAATTATTAAATGAAAACTATACTTAAGGAGAGAAAAGTTATGGCCACGAATGAGCATGGAAGGGTGGAGACAAAAAAGTGTTTATTTTAAAAGAAAAAAAAACTTCAAAGGTATCACAAAATTGAATAGTACTTATTGTGTGAGGAGAAATGAAGGAGTAGACTAATTGTCAATTTTTTAGAATAGAGCTCTATACTTTCATTGATAGGAAAAGGGGTAAATACATATTATAAGACCTAAATAAAAGAAAGACATAAATTCAAAAATAGACCAACTAGAAAATAAATAAATATGGAAATGGAAAATAAGTGCAGCAAATAAAAACTAATAATAACTGCAACAGTAATTAGCCTAATAATTGAGCTAATAATTAAACTAATATTCTAATACTCCCACTCAAGTTGAAGCATAGGTGTCTGCTCAACTTGGATTTGAAGTCATCAAACAATAACCAAAGAAGATACTTGATAAGGATATCTGCTAATTGGCTATTGGATGGGACAAATAGAATAGAAATCTCCCTTGAATTTTAAACATTTTGGATGATGTTAATCCATGTTAGAGGCATGTTTGTGCTAGACACATGTCTTACATTTACACAAAGCATTTTGAGGTGTTCATATTTCATCACTAGTGATTTTTATCCTTATTCCTTTTGCTAGCCTATTTTGGTGATTGATATGTGCATGATTATAAATTTGCCAAATTTGATACAAGATAATTTTCTTCATAAGATGGGAATCGTAAACATATAAGAATTTATATTCACTTTCTTTATTTATAGTAAAATTTTATCTTTTGATAACTATTAAATTATTATTTGAAATGAACCAAATGTGTTTGTTGGTATTGCATCAAAGGTGACTAAAGTCTACAAAAATGTAAACATAGAAATATGTGAATAGTAGTTTTTTATGTTCTTTATGCATTTTATCCTAGGTTAGCATTAAACAAGGGTGTCCTATATCAAAAACCCAAAGATCATATTTAAATATTTTTTAGTTAAAATAAAGCGTTTCTATAGGTACTACAAGGTTACAAATAGTAATAAGAACACAAAGGAAAATGTTTAGAAAGGCAAATCAACTAGCTATGCACATATATAAATATTGGATGACAAATACTTCAGAAATATTTATATGCTTATGGGGTAACAATGCGATTTCTGATGAACAAAACTAGCCAAAGGCCTCAACGCGAATGCCAAATGCATGTATAAGAGCTAGAAACCATTAGGATTGCATCACCTATCAAATATTGTACAAGAGAAGAAACACTCATAAGGTTGACATCAAACCATAAGTTAAAACTTGACTTCATGTAATTAGATAAAACATATTCACGAAAATGTAATAAAATAGTTATCTAAATACATAAGAACATGACATAAAGCTTGAGCTAAATCAAATCATAAATGCTAGCAAGAACCACTATAAAAAAAATTTAAAAATAAAAAAATAAAAAAAAAAAACCTCATTTTAGGCCGACTAATTGGCTCAGGGTGCAACAACCACAGGCAAAATGATGAGACCTTTGGCCACTTAAGCAGCATTTGCGGTGGAAGCACGCGATGTCTTAAGTTGAACATTATACCAACCTTCTCTTCCATAGTCTCAAACATGCAAAATAGCTGGCCACAATAAACCAAACCATCATCCATATAGCAATAAATGCAAAATAACAAAGATGAATAAAACCAAAATATATCAGTAAATTTTTACCTCAAATAGTAGAACACCTAATTTATATACATCTGAGGCAAACACACTCTGCCTCTCCTGAGTTTCTTCAGGGCTTTTATACCAATAAAACTCCATACTTAATAGCTTCCTGAGAGCAAAATCTCTCCTTTCCACAGCTGCACTCAGCTCACTCAAGTCTCCCCTTCTCTTCATCTCCTCCAACAAAGAGGACTGTGCAGCATGTGTAGTACTCTCGAAAGCACCAGCAGACATCCCCTCACAAGGAATAAGGGGTTTCGTGCCACCAGAACAATGGCCGCCTTCTTCTCCATAGAAAGAGTCAGAGTCTGAGCCCGAGCACGAAGCGGATTCAATGAATGAGACAGAGTTGAAGGTTGACATCACAAAGCAAGAAGGTCTAATGTTATTAACTACAACTCCTTGGTGGTGTGCAAGATTAACCGCTTCTACTACCTGCCGGAAAATGTGCAAGCATACCATAAAGTCTACCGGCCGGCCAGGCTTGTCCAGCCACTCCCTTAGGCTGACTTGCCCTTGGTTTCCACCGTTACCACCACCAGTAGTCTTCACTCTGGTAATATCAGAAGTTCTTTTTCCATCTTCGTCTAACTCCTCCTCCCTAGAGCTTCCGCCCGCAACCAGGCCTAAGCCGCTTCTCGACGGGGCAATAAAGCCGCGGAGTTTCAGATGTATGGAGGTTGTTGATCTCTGCAAACCGGACTCCTCTTTAGAACCCTCCATTAGGCATACACCATCGCAAGAAACTAAACACTTTATCAAGCCCCACAACCACGCTTTTCAAGCGCCAGAGTTAGCGCGAGAATCGATATAGCCTCAACAACCAGTTATTAAAAATTTCATTACTTGCCAAGTCTAAGCAAATTTGATTTGCCGGAGAGGAGGACAAAGGCTCGCCTCGATCGGCAAGATCCCACCTTTCGATAACGAAAAGCAAAACTACCAGCTTTCCATCAACGCCCATATGAATAGTTCTTCCATCTCCTCGGAGAAACTGCGCGCTGCCGAATGGAAAATAGAATGGCAACCTCAAAAAGATCGCTCGGAGAAGCAGAGATAATGGGGATAAAAGGAAAACTGATGAGAGAAGCACCACACAAATGAGTTCTCTAACATGTCCAAACACTAAAAAAAAACCATTTTTTTTTCTCAGCCGAGCTTCTCAGCCTCACAAATCCTCAGGACATCTTCACATTTACTCTCTACCGGCCCCCACCAATCTCTTTTCTTTTTCCGCCAGCACGGAAGAAGAGGCAGAACAGCGTGCTTTGAAAAACCCTTCGCAGTTGTGCTCAACGGGTAAGAAGCAGAGGAGGAGAAGCGCTTCATGGCGTTCGCTATCTTGTTCTTGAAGCTCTTTTAGCTACGTGGCTTTTCCATGTCCGCATGCAGGCTAAGGCATGCAAGTGTTGGTTAACTTGTGGCCCTTGTTTCTGCACGGAGAAACGCACAACGCCCTTTTTATATTATTATTTAAGCTTTATATTGGGAAATTTAGCTGCTTTCCAATGTAAAAATAATGGGGGCATCTTCATACATATATTCCATCCAATTACTGTCTACTTACATGCCAAACATCAAAATATTACATTTTTACATTTATACCATCATAATCTTTCATATCATATAAAAAAAATGCTACCATTTTGATTCTTATGAAGTTCAACGCAACTTTATATACATAAACAAGGTAGTATGTATGTAAAAATTGACGTATAGATGCTAGATAAGTAAATACATAGGAATTGAGTGATATGTATGTACATTTTTCAAAATAATATATTTCATTTAAAATATTTGAGAGTTATTAGTATAAAATAAATGCATGATGGGCACTCGGCCATGACGGAAGATGATGGCCTACTAATGTGGTTCATAACACACTAACATAGTATAAATGACAAAAAAAAGGCAAATGTGCTTTAGTTGTTATGATATATACATATTAATTAAATACTGATCTAATCTATGAATTTCGGATTCATATACACTGCAATAGACATGATGAGATAAACAGTAAATATAATAGGAAATATTAAATATGTTATATTTATTATAAATTAAGTGTATAAAGATATGTGACATATGACACTAAAATGTTACATTTTAATTTTAATCATGTTCTGTATTATGTACAAGATATTTACATTCGAGCAATAGCATAGATATTTTTTTATGCACTACATATTCAATCTCTTTATAAAATATTTATTAGAATGCAAACTATTTTATTTCCTTACATTAAATATCATTATAAGTTTCGTATAAGCTTTTGGGATGTTAGCTTACCTATACTATGGGATATATATATTTTTGAAGTGCAAGACTCCAATGTGATTGTTGATCTAACTGATGGAAATATATTTTATTAACATAGACCAACTTATTTATAAACATAGGATGATTATATTTTATTGGATTTATGAAAGCAATATGATTATTTCATATAAATAATTAGAATATAATTTGTTATAGAAAAAAAAAATGTTGAATGATGGTTTCTATTTAATTACAATAGCTTGGTGATATGATGGTTGTACTGTGAAATCTTAGATAATATAGTATGTTTATTTCAGATAAAGTTTGACAAACTCGTATTGTATCCAAGGGCAGAACCGGGATATGTCCCTCGACACACACAAACACCAAAAGATGTATATATTTTATTTGCCCAACACATAAAAAGAATCAGCCCCCCAAAAAAAAGGTAATGTTGGTTCCAATGCTAAAAGTTGTACCCAAATTAGTTTAATCAACTATGGTATAATAGTTATATTGAATCTAAGTCTTGATAATTTATACGGCATCAAAACAATAGGTTTGAAAATTTTGATTAAGCATAGAGAAATAGAATCAATTGTGAGTGTGGAAGCAATTTTTTTTTTCTATACATGAATATTCATTGCTTTGAGTTATTGTGTGTGATTGATCAAGTGAGAGGATGTTGAAGTTGTGGCTCCATGGATACTCAAGAGAGAGAAATAACTAATATATAAAACTGCAATCAAGTATTGCTAATGCATAATACAATAAAAGCTAATATCATTAGGTTTCATAATAAAATTGTTTGGTTCAACAAATCAACTATTGGACAATGTATAGAATGTGATACTTACTATCAGAGTAGATAAAGATAACATATATTTACAAATGTTTTAAATATTGAATCCAAATTTTTTTAAAGATATTATGAAACCACAATAATCAAGACTAGATATTAAAAGTGGAGAAAATATTAATAGGATGTAATACCAAAAGGATTATTAGGTACCACACTAATAGTTAGGCCATTGGAGAAACACTTTTTTATGATGGATTGATTCTACAAATTATTTAAATAAAATTTATAGATAATTTTATGAAGCTTTTTTTTTTCTTATGTCGGGCAACAAACAAGAGGCTTTTATAATGTTAATATTGGGGAACATGACCATTATACAATTAAAATAAAGGTTTAAGTCATTGTTTTAATTAGGTATGTCTCACATTTAATTAGCAGTATTGAGGTGAAGTGTTAGCATCTTATAAGATAATTTAGAGATTATTTGAGATATTTATTAATTTTATTAAAAAGAAGATATTTCATTGAGTTGATATATAATACACGATTAATAAAAAAAGATTTATTAATTTCTCATCAGAGATGATATGTGAGAAGAAAGAGATTTAATAAAAAGATGTTTAAGAATAACTTCAGTAGAAAGAAGAACAGATTTAGATTGTATGCTTCTAATAAATATTTGATGCTATTTGTTATTAATTCACTTGACAACACAAATTATGGAAAAACACATTGAGGATAACAATATTTTTTTGGATGACATATCATATCACTCAAGGAAGATGCAAAGGTAAACTACTACACCACCTAATGCCATGCAACCAATTTAGTCTTAGTGTTGAAAGCTTTGTGTCTAACAACAATATCTAGAGTTCAAAGCTTATCACATACAAGTGTGTGCAATCGATAAGAAAATAATTTAAAAAAGATTATCCCTCCTGAAGCATCCAATAAAGGTTCACAAATAATGTTGGAGGAATGACTATAATAATGAAACTAGTGAAAGTCAAAAGGAATTTACTAATTTAGTTTGTGCATTCTAATTCAAGCTAACTTTTATAATTTGTTTTATTAAGATGTAAATAATATAGCTTATGTCTTTTATGTTGTTGCATCAAATTCACATTACATTATAAGTAATATCTCTACATTAACGTTGTTGGAAATTATATGATAGTTAGTTATGGTTGCGAGGGCATGCAACATCAAGATTTTATTAGGAAGTATTTAAAATTAATTGGTTGAGAAAATATGTTGTCCATAATAATTATAAAAAAAAAAACATGAGAGTGATTTTATATTCAATTAGTGAAAATATATATTTCCAAATTATTAGAGGAGTAATGCCATCAATAATATTCACTCTATACATTAATAAGATATGGAAGAATAAATGTTAATACATTTTACACATATGAAGGATAAAATTAAGCATCCACTCTCATTATAAAATGTTCTTATAGTAATCGAATTCTCTAATATATTTTTTTAAGGAATTTATAAATTTATCACATTATTGAAAAATAGAGTTTTGTATTGAAGTGCTATTTGATACATCTCTCTACTGCTAATGCCTCATATAAAATAACACCTGAGGAATTACAAGAACTATAGACATAATTCTAGGATTTAGTGGATAAAGGTTTCATTCAACATATTCTATAATTATAGGTTACATTTGTGTTATTTATGAAGAATAATAATATGATGTGAATGGATCTATATTATATATTTACAAAGAGTGTCTATCAAGAATAAATACCTATTATTTAAGACTGATAACTTTTTAATCAGTTTAAAAGCATACATTTGTTATATTTTGGAAGATATATTTGAGGTATAATATTATTATTTTAAGGTAAAAGAGGAGGATGTAGCAAAGGCAAAATTTCACACACAGTAGCTGTTTTTTTATGTATTTAATGCACTTATAATATTTATGGATATAAAGTATTAGATGAATAATCATATTGAGATAAAGTTATGATTGCAATCATTGATGATACATTAATGTCTTCATAATGTGTTAAAGATAGGCCAAATCTCTTGAGATTTTTATTGAAAATATCAAACAAAATAAGTTATATGCTTTGTTTTCAAAATATAAGTTTTGATTATGAACTATTTCATTTTTAGGTCAAATAGTAAAGGGAGAAGGGATACATATAAACTCATTGAAGGTATAAGTTATTGTCAAATGACTTAGCTTACTAATGTATTAGAAATGCAAAATATTTTTTTTTTTATTGAGATAAATTATTAAAAAAAATAGTTAAGAATAGATATAATTTTTAGAAGTTGAAGAGCTACTTATTATTGTTAAGTATGCTCGTCTGATATTAAAAAATATGAAATACTTAGTAAAGTATCATTAAAAAGTTTTACTACATCATAATAAAATAATAGCATATACATTCAAACACTTGAAGGCACACGAGAAAAATTATCCTACACATAATCTATAATTAACAAGCATTGTATTTGCACTTGAGTTTTGAAAACATTGACTACTTATCATCAACTTTTATAGCACATATTTACTAAAAATTAGTTAAATTTAATGCAAAGAAGGTGATCACATTTGATTAAAGATTATGACTTAGTATTTAAAATCAACACAAAAAGGTTAATGTTGCTCCAACGTTTTGAAATAAAATAAAAGTAGTAGTTAGAGCAATTGGTGTGGACATTGAAGTATTGTCTCAAATGATTGTTCAACTTAAACTATAAGAGAGAATTGAAGACGCTTGAAAATTTAATCATGAGCATGATAGATTATTTGGAGGTGAAAGAAATTATAATTGAACAATAATTAAGTGTTAGAAATTATTTCTAATTAATAATGAAGATTTTATATAAAACATAGTACTTTGGATATATCCATTAATGCCAGGAGCCATAGATTGTATCGCTAATTAAAATTAATATTTATACAGCTTAAATTAAAAAGACAGATAGCAAAATTTATGTCTTAGTGTGAAGCTTTTTAAATAGCATAAGTGCAGCATTAACAATCTTGTTGTTTATCACAACTTGTTCCTATTCTCGAGTGGAAGTTAAAAGGGATCATGAGTTAAAATTATCTCTTTTACATATAATTGAGCTAATGATCTATTTATTTTACTAATTTCTCTTAAGATAAAAAAAAATACATTAATTTTGTCAAGCGACCAACTTTTACTTCACAGCATCTTGGCTTTGTAATGAACAGGAAAAAATTATCTATATCTTTAAGTCTTATCCAAAACCCTTTCATTCATATCTTAATCCACCCTTCCCAAGATATTCTCCATTTGGGCTTAGGCTGAGGGGTGACGAAGAGAAAAAGAGATGTCTTTTAGGGTCTGTTTGGGGCAGCTTATTTGGTGCGGTGGCGTTTTGAAAACGCACCTGACCTGTTTGGGTAAACTACGTTTTGACAGCTTATGTGTTTTCTAAACGCAGAAAACAACTTTTTCACACCGCACTAGATGTAGGTGCAGTGGGAGCTTATTGGCAACGGTTCAGCTTTTTCCAAAAAAAAAAAATTGCAATAATCACTGCACCTAGCTTATTAGCAGATTATTTTTAATCAGCTTATCAGCATATTATTCAATAAGCTATAGCTGCCCCAAACAGACCCGAAGTTTTGGACTTGAAGGTTTTTAATTTATTTTTATAAGGCGGGCCATTTGAAAAAATTATTTGATTCACATGTATTGTGCTGACCAACTATTTGTACTAATATGAATGATAGGATATTGTATCCATCTTGTTATAATTTGTCAAAAAAAAAAAAAAAAAATCAAATCAAATGATACATTATATTTAGCTAGAACAACTGACTTACATGATTTATATGTGATGATAGACATCTCCTATACTAACAAACATGATAAAATAAGTTCTATGGACTATTACGATTATGACATTGTTGAACTCTTTTAGAATGTTGGGTTCTGTAATATTCCCGAGTTCACACAACCTGTGAGAGACCTGTGTAAGAAAGGTAACACATGAGGATAGATGTATTATTCGGGCCTAAATTATATGTTCTGCCTTCTGATCCTCCACTGGCATAGTAGAGGAGATGATCTAACAGAAAGCGGGAGTCACAGCTTAAGGTTTCCGAGAATTCTAGGAGAGAGAAATCCTCTTCAGTCTCTCTGCCACTTTTTATACATGTACAACGTGTCGTTAAAAAATCTGCCCATTGTAACTTGATGAAAAAACCGTGATGTGTGTGTCAGGCAGCTCATAAATGAGGATGTTAATCCTCAATATCAAACTTAACTTTCGCATTGTTATAGCTACAAGGATCGTCGTGAAGAGGAGCTAAGCTAATGTTTCTGATTGGTCAGTTCGTCCAGTGGAATGGTCATGCCAGTTTGATGAGCTAGTTTTCCAAGCCAGTTCGTTAGGTTAGTTAGGTATCTAGTACAAGGCATCTGACACTTCGACGAATGAGGTTGGCGGGTCACTTTCGACGAAATTTGTGTCTTCAAGTTTGCTGGTTTGAATCAAACCCACGAGATCTAATGAGTGTGAACTTTGACCCATAAAAACTTGATTTCGGTAATACATACACTATACCTTACATAACATAAAATCAAAATGATATACTTTGTTCATAATTTATATTTTATGAATGACATCAACACCTAAATAGTATCATAGATATTTACTTATTTATCATATATTTATTGCCCTAATAAAATGGTTATTAACTTGCATACTAGTTTATTTCTTTCTTGCATTAAATACAGTTATAAGTTATGTGTAATCAAATGAGCTATTCTTTACTCATTACATATCTTTTAAGAGAAGGATATGACTTTAATGGAGTAAGGCTGTTGATCTTGCTAAAGGAGATATCTTCTGGTTGATATAAGTGGGCTTTTTTATTATTATGAAATTATCATATTTTATTAGATTTATTGAAGCACTATAATTATTACATATAAATGCTTGGAATATAAATTATTCTGTTGCAAGCAAATTTTCAACTAAAATAAAAATTTGATCATATTTCTTCAAATACAGCAGATATATTTGTCCTATAAGGATTATTATGAGGCATATAATGTCAAAAATTTCCTCATATTTATAATAATTCATATTTACAGAAATGTAAAAAAACAAATTTTCATACATAAAATGAATATAAAATTAAAAAAAAAACCATGCAAATGTTCATCAAAAAAGAATCTTTGCATGATTCAAATAGAGATTAAAGGGGGCAGCATTGTACCTTGTCAGTTCTAAAAAATGTTGAAAACTCCGCCATACTGTCCAAATGAAAGATGCCAATTCCTTTTAGCACCTAGTCGTTAGCCAATACTATATTAGTTCTAGGCGTACAAGAAAAGAAAATACTTATTAGCATGCAAAAAAAAAAAAAAAAGTTCAAATATATAGATGCAAACATGATATATAGGGTTATAATGAAACATTTCCTCAACATAGCTTTGCTTTAGGATCCCATTGGCCATCTTCTATAAAGCACAATTGTTAAAATAATTTCTACAGACAATTTCCGAAATGTATTTATATATTCATGTTAATATACTTGAATTTAATCTCTAGATTCTTGCTGGCCTGTCTTCATAGATTATTTTTTTATGAACCCACATGCTTTCATCACTGCTTCCCTCACAATAATCTCTCATTGTTAAATGAATCTTTTTCACGTGATTTTATCACATTATGTTATTGCATAAGGAGAAATCAATCTCTTTTTTGAGGGTGGATATTATTGACCCTACCTGCTTAAACCTAGAGAAAACAGGTAAATATTTTTTTCCTTAGTTTTAGGCAAAAAAAAATTATTCAGGAGGGGTGGGGAAATTATGTATAAAAAATTTACATACATACATACCACAAACTTCTTATGTATTTTATATATCTAACATCTAAACTTTGATATTTATATATCTAACACTTAAAAATATAATATGTTCAAATGTCATAATGCTCCGTGTAACTTAGAATGATACTGTAACGCCCTTGGTAATTGTGCAATTAATCGAAATAACAGATAGGCAGAGGGCAGAGTTAGCTGAGGAATTAACTATGAGTAGAGTTCTCATAGTTCGAGCTGGTTGTCGGGCAAACTCCCAGTTTTGTCAGGGGAACTATAAGGTGGTATATGCAGGCTATCATGGATTCTAAGGGAATTGATACGCTATCAATGTTGTATCTCCAAGTTACACTGAGATGACGCCTAAGCGCATGCGATACAGATGGACCTGCAGACCAATTACACAGGTTGACGAGTCTCACCAGACCCGCCGGGTTTTTGTGTGTACAATATGCATTTGGTTAAACATGTAAAAAGATGCATAATTTTCTTTTCAAAGAGAGTGAGACAAGATATGCTTGATCATAGGAATTGAATTAATAAGCTGTGTTAGGGAAGCTTAGCACACCTTCTACCGGTAATGAGTTAGCAATTACTTTTATTACTGATTTTTCCTAGATAAATGTGGGTTTACTTTACGAAGCTCAAATTTGAAGTATGTCAAAACTATGGTTCAGAATTTATTACATATGAAAATCTCCTGATTAAGATATAACGACGATGGAGAATATAGGTTTCATGAGCTTTCTAGTACACTTAACACATTGTGGAGCCTACCGCACCCAAACCAAATCAAGAGGAGGGCGCTTAGCGCCCCGGCTCAAGTGCCCAACATTTGGGGCACTAACAAAGAAAGGGGCTTTTGCGCTCCCTATGGGCGCCTTTGCGCCCATGCTTAGGCGCTCGACATAGAAGGGGGCGCCTTAGTACCCCCCTTGAGAGCCCAAGCGTCCAACTAAGTTGGGCACGATTCTGCTTCCCGAGAGACCGGCACTTTTATGCCTAGTACGGGCGCTTTTGCGCCTAGTGCTGTTACCACGATTTTTTAGTTTTAAAACCGAAATTTTAAGCGGCGTAATGATGCTTGGGCGTAACATTGCCTTGGGTGTTCTTCAACAAGTTTCTGGTGAAGAGAGAATAGTCGGAAAGCAAAATTTATGGGATCTCAGCGTGTGTTGTTTGCGGCAAATCGGAGAAAGAAAATTGTGGAGTGTCCTGTAAGTTTTTTCGTGAGAGTATGGAGAAAAAACTTGTGTGAGTCATTTGTAAAACTTTCTAATTTTCATAATGAATTTGTGGTGGTGTAGCTCAGTGGTTTTTTTCCCGTTCTCGGCTTTTTTCATATAAAATTCTCGTGTATTTTTCTGGTTGTTTTGATTTTGCTTCTGTGCTTAAATTTATTATTCCGGTTTTCTCGAATTCTGTGATTCTATTCCGCGGTGAAACTAGAATGAGATTCTTTTGGAGTAGTTTGTCCCAACATAATTCACAAAAATCTTATTAATCTACGAATAAGTAACTATGCTTTAGGTGAGACCATCTCAACTCCATATAGTCATCTTCAAATGCCAACAAACTTACATCTAAATATTGTTAAATCACATATCACACTTCCTATTAGGAGTTATGTTAAATCACATATCAGAAAAAACTGCATAACACATAATTTTATGTATTTATATATTTAACACTGAAATTCAAATATTTATGTATATAACACTTTAGTGCCATTATTACCTCAAAAAATAGGCATGAAAAGTTATGTTTAATTTTTGAAAAATTAATATTAGCAATATTTTTATATGATGTAAAAGATGCGAGTATTATATAAACAAATATTAAAGTTTGGGTGTCCAATATGTAATTACAAAAAATTGTGTTGTGTGCATGTAAATCCCCATTCTTCTTATATCTTGCAATAAGAATACAAAGGAGTCAGAAGGAGAACTCCAGGTCAAAAGATGACTAAGGTTCAAATCTCACATTCAATGTTTGATCCTCATTCAAATGAGACTCAAATACCTATTTTGAATCACGGATTAGCCTGTTAAAAAAAAAAGGTATAACCATGTTATTTTGTGGAGCCATGTTGAGGGTTTGTAATGGTCATAAAATTTACTAAATCGTTTTTATGGTCGATGAGTAGAACTGTAGAAGACATGCATAGCTATGAACATAGAGCTGAGTAACCAAGCAAGAAAGGTCAAGTGGCCCACTTACTACTTAGCAATAAGCCAGTAGGTGGTTTGCGACGATCAACAACTTCACAAAATTTAAGTTATGATCGCCGGGCAAACATGCATGCATTAGCAAGCAGCTGAGCATGCAGGGTTGATTAGCTAAGTGTGTAGAGCCAACTAACCAAATTATTACTAGTGGTAAGCAGCTAAAGGATTTTTCGCTAGCTATAAATTATATCAATTATGAACAAAGGTTGGCATGCAAATGAACACATATGGCCAAGTATTGGAGTTGATGAGCTTGAGCAACCAAGTTCATAGAGCGTGTTGCTAAGTATGCCAAGAGTTCCAACCAGTTTTACTTTTCTTCTATTATCAAAAAGACTTTCTGTCGCGCACTTTCTTGAATAAGTTGATTGCGGTTATTTAATGTTTTATCGAGTATCTTAATGTGTGATTAGAGATCGATCAGGTCAATTTATTAATCACCTATATTGAAGAATCTATGAAAATGGCAAAGCATATTTCGAGTTCTCTTCCATGATCATAATCTCCCTTGAGGAGGTCGATGTGGACCTGCTATTGATATCATGACCCAATAAAGATTTGATGTTATCCAACTCACTGCGACCATGGATGATTTTATAGAGAACTAACTTAATTATGGTTAGTTTTTCTCTTCATATGTCCAACTAATATTGACTGGTAGATAATTTCCATAAGAATAAATCCTTCGTCAATACAAATTTTAATAATTAAATATTTATACCTTCATTATATATAATTTTTTGTTCGTGCCTGACTTAAGTTTTGGGTTAGTTATTGCAATTATAATCAGTATATTTCAGTTTTATTAGTTGATTTTTAATTTATATGATAAAAGTCTATTAAAATTTTGAATAATGAGAAAAAAACTTTATTTTATAGAATTTATGACTATGTACATCTCCATATCTCAAAAAGTAGGATCAAACTAAGATGGGCTTGTTCAAAGATCAACATGAACTTACCGAGCTTCAAAGAAACCCACATGCCATTTGATGAACTTTCCATAATTATAATTAGTTTATCTCATTGTTCCCTCAAGCCTAATCATTCTAAGCTCAAGAGCTACTCTCTACTCAGCAACAACTTTACCAAATCTATTGGTTTCCTCTATAAGTAAGTGACCAAACCAAGTACTCAATCACATGGACAATCTAGAATAATCGGGTTATATATCTCATGTATTTTATAGTAAATAACAATTATGCCTTGCTATATACTTTTTCTTAGAACCCAGTATGTAGCTTTTTTTAAAGTGCTCAAGCTCCAATCCACATCTAGAGGGGGCGGCTATTTTATGCAATTTAGAGTACTCAAACCCATTCTATTTATGCAAATTAGAGTACTCAAACCCATTCTAATCAAATCTTTGAGTTTTTCACTCTCGAATCTTATTTTTTGTAGCAAACCCATTCTTGTCAAATCTTAAGTTTTTCACTCTAAAATCTTCATTTCTATTAAATCTATGATTCTCTTTTGATATTATCCATTGATATGTTAAGATCAAAGTTTTCAAATTTGCAGCGAATGTGAACATATGCCAAAAAATTAGAAGAGAAATACTTCGAGAGATAACCGAACTAAACAAAGAAACTTCAGTAAATATGAAAAAATAAAACTTAGTTACTAATGACATCTAGCAGACATGGATGAGAGAATCAACAAAATAATTCAAGGAATCTTGGATCAGATCTCTACAGCTACTCCTAGAGTGAAAATGTCGAAAGGATCTTCAAATTATGTTGTATGGAGGAGACATTCTAGCAGAAGACATTATCCTTAATCCTATCAAACAAATATCCTTCTCATTAGGAACTCCAATCACCCCAAAACCACTAGTGTAGTCCTATTCTCATCCTAGAAACTTGTTGGAATAAATTCCATCATGTTTCTCACCTTTTGGTAACAATGCCTCCTTGATGTTTGTAGCCATCACTTATTTTGAGCATCTTAGCCAGCTTCACTATATCTTCATTGCTAACGCAAGAGTTTTCTAGTGCTCAACCATGAGGGCAATATGTAGAAATTCTCTTGTGAGGTAGCATTCACATGCCCATCTCCATTATGTTTAAATCCCTGACACCTACACCTGCAATTTAGAGTAGTCAAACCCATTCTAATCAAATCTTAGAGTTTTTCACTCTCGAATCTTATTTTTTTGTAGCAAACTCATTCTTGTCAAATCTTAGAGTTTTTCACTCTAAAATCTTCATTTCTATAGCTAAATCTATGATTCTCTTTTGATATTATCCATTGATAATTTAAGATCAAAGTTTTCAAATTTGCAGCGAATGTAAACATATGCCAAAAAATTAGAAGAGAAATGCTTCAAGAGGTAACCAAACTAAACAAAGAAACTTCAGTAAATATAAAAAATCAAAACTTACTTACTAATGACATCTAGCAGACATGGATGAGAGAATCAACAAAATAATTCAAGGAATCTTGGATCAGATCTCTACAGCTACTCCTAGAGTGAAAATGTCGAAAGGATCTTCAAATTATGTTGTATGGAGGAGACATTCTAGCAGAAGACATTATCCTTAATCCTATCAAACAAATATCCTTCTCATTAGGAACTCCAATCACCCCAAAACCACTAGTGTAGTCCTATTCTCATCCTAGAAACTTGTTGGAATAAATTCCATCATGTTTCTCACCTTTTGGTAACAATGCCTCCTTGATGTTTGTAGCCATCACTTATTTTGAGCATCTTAGCCAGCTTCACTATATCTTCATTGCTAACGCAAGAGTTTTCTAGTGCTCAACCATGAGGGCAGTATGTAGAAATTCTCTTGTGAGGTAGCATTCACATGCCAATCTCCATTATGTTTAAATCCCTAACACCTACACCTGCACCATATTTGTCTTCATCTACATCTACATAGATAAGATTGTGGTGACATGGCTATATCAAAATGTTTACCTTTTGTGCTCCAATTTATCAAATCAAGCACTGCATTCCAACTTTATGATGAAAGAGGTATGCTCCGCTAAAAAAGAAAAAAGAAAATTATGGTGTTATAAGAAATTGCTATGTTTGAGTTCAATTTCATTATCATTAGCGTCATCTCAACTATACTTAGGGTCGGCTTTATGAATCCTTATTATCTATTCATTCATGTTGATTATTACATGAGGTTTTAAATCTAATCCAAGTCTTTCGGTACAATGTCTATGTGAATTACCTTTGCTCTGCCCATTTTCTATTTTCATCCTCAGAGAAAAATTTTATCTACATAATTTATAAGTGCATTTTCTACCGTTATCATACATGTCTAAGCCACTTATGTTTCAAGTGTCATATAAAATAATAATTGTATGCAATTCTCCTCATTCTCTAGCATTAAACCTCTACACACGCCTTTCTACTGAAAGTATCTAAGAGTTGTAATTCCAATTACTTACACCGCTCTTTCTTCTATGTTCATATGATCCTAATGCAAATACATTAATGGTTTAAAGTGTAAAAGATTTGATGACAGTCTATGAAATAATCTTAGAAAGTTACAAGCATTACAATACTTATAACTGGTCCAAATAAACATGTTCATTTGTTGTAAAGCCTTATGTAGGTTCCTTCAGTGTGCTTTTGTTTCAACATTAATGTGCTAACAAATGAATGAAGCAACTATTTTAATGATTTCATACAGAAAATAGCAACAAAATAATATAACCAAAGTTTCATATATAAAATCACATAAATAATTGCATTCCTTCTCACTTCAAGTTCTCAGTTACCTCAATTTCTCAGTATTCCACTTTGCATTGAACAGCCGCTCTCTATCTCATAGACAATCTGCAGTTTCCTAAACACGGATAAACCTATATTTACTCAATTTTACATTGATTCCTCTAGTTCAGGAATTAATGCAAAAGATGTGTTTTTTTGTTGATCACAACAGCAAAATAACTTTTGTTATTAATTAGCTGCAGGAAATATTAAAACTTTTAAAAAGAAGGCAAGAAAGTAGAATTTACCTGAGGAATAAATCATAAAAATAAGCTTAGGAACAAGAGCGAGCCCAACGCTAGCATTTTATTTGCTTATATCCAACTTATCTTACACAACTTTCGAAGCTGCTCTTGTGTTGAATTTGGCATCCAGCACCTGAAAACTTTGTCCAACCTCACATGACTCAAAGAAAAACAACCCAACACTATGTGCACAATATCAGCAACAGAAACATTGCTACAAGAAGCCAAAACAAGGATCTCCAACGACAGGTGACCTGAGAAGGAACGAATCCCAGATCAAGTAATCTGATCACAGCCTATCAATCTAACCTCCACCAGATTCTGAAAGTTCTGAGCTACAACAATGAGTGAAGAATTCGAAAGATTGATCAGCCAAGAAAGGTCCAATCTCCTCAAGCTAGTCATAGCAGCAATACAAGCACCTCCAAAATCAGTGACTAAGGGGCCACATTCCGCCAGCCTCAATTCCTGCAAAGAGGACATGAGCCGCAAGGAAGAGACCCCATGGTCCGTAATCCGATCGCACTCAGAAACATCAAAAACCTCCATAGTCTTGGCTGACAATCCGTGGGCCAAAGATTTCAAGCCATGATCAGTTATCAGATAACATCCACGAAGATATACTTCCATCAAGGAACTCAGTGAAGCCACGGCTTCCAGCGCAGTATCACTAATCCCACTGCACCATGACAGATCAAGAAAGACTAAATTCTTTGCATGTGATATAAGAGCAGCGATTCCAACATCCCCAATCCCTTTCCTCCATCTCATTGAAAAATTTATCAGTTTCTGACAAGCAAATGATATGCCGCAGAGCCCACTGTCAGTAACATCCTCAAAATCGAATCCATAACTCTCGAATTCATCGGAGAAGCATCGGTTTCTGCGGAAGTTTAAGTTAAGGGTTTGGAGATTAGTGCATATCTCGGCGGCAGCTTGGAGGTTCCTGTCGGAAATTCTGGTATTAATCTCCAAGGTTTTCAGATTAGTGAACCTTCGCGAGAGAGAAGGGAGTGATTGGGGAAGCAGAAGACGCAGAGAAGAACGGATAGAGCCCTCCAATCTCGCCCATTGCTTGCATACCTCAGAGCACGCCTTGCGGTCTCGCCGGTGAGAAACCCTCTTCAGCACCGCCGCCAGCTCATCGTCGCCTAATCTCTCCATGATTCTAGAAAATAATTTCTCGCCCAAAAATACGCCATCTTTTCTTTATTTATTTTTGAATGTTTCAATAATTTTTTTAGACGATCTTATTAATGAAAATATTTATAGAGTGGTTAGGGCTATAAATGAACTAATGAACTTGATTAATAAATTAATAAATTTGAATATTTTCTTTGATAATTAAATTTTAAATAAATCAAATTTGAGTATAGTCCATCCCATTCATTAATATTCAAGGAAAATTTATTCTTGTTCAATAAATAATTTATGAAATATTTAAATACAATCATAAATATATATGTGAGATATTATTTAAATAAAAGTTAATTAACAAAAAAATCAATTAATCATAATATTAATAATAACATTTAATGATTTAATATTAATATTCAAACAAATTTAATATAATTTCTTCTTTTTTTTTAATAAACTAATTTATTAATATTTATTTATGTTATTTGATTGCACTAAAATTTACTTATAATTTATATCTTTTTTATTTATTAAATAAAAATTAATTTATTCACTTACTTGTTTATTTAGATTTTTATAATCATTTGTTAATAAATTTATAAAAACAATCAAGTGCAAAATTCAAATTTTTTTTTGGTCAATTAATACACACAAGTGAAGTATAAGTGAAGTATGATTATTAAAAAAAAATTAAGCAAGTCAAATACGAACATATATGAAATCTCAGCTCAAGCTCAAACTAAACTATGAACAATTTATGATTTGACTGAGCCAAATCCAATCTATGACATACTCAACTTCGCTCTGCTCTAACAATGACACTCTTATTCATGTATGTTTGTGAAAATCATGGTTTGTTATTCAATAAATAATAAGCAGTTGTACAACATACATATCACCCAACTCCTATGTATTTACAAACCTAACATCTAACTCTACATTTTATATTTACAACGCCCAAATATTTTATATTGCAAAAAAATCACTGTTTAATTTTTAAAAAGTGATATACTTGCACATTTTCATGTGTATGAAAAATGGCATTAGGTAAAAATAGAAGTTTAGGTGTTAGATATGCAAATACATAGCAATGAAGTGGTTGTATGTAAATTTTCCCAAAAGTTTACTTCTTGCCACTATAAATCAAATGCAAGAAAGCAAGATATTTGCTTATTATTTGTTATTTTTAATTATTTAATTTAACCAATAGATTAAAATGATATAAAATTCATTAAATATAATAATCTCAATTTTAAAATAAAAAATAAAAAATAAAAAATAAAAATATAATATAATATAAATAAATTTAATTAATCAATATACATTTAAAAATAAATTTTATATTTTAGTATATGTATGTTAGATTTGCTTGTTTTTTTTTAGTTAAATACATTAATAATATGCCCAACAGATATAATGTTTGTGGCACGAAAATGAGTGCATCAAACATATATCTGATAAAATATGCTTCAATACTATGGAATGTTTATGCAACATATTCTTAAATTTGACTTGGTTAATATCGACGGTTTATCGACTTCTTTAATATTTTAACTATATATATAACAATGACAGCCGTAGTTTGTGAGTAAACCGACGGGAGATAAAAATTGTCGGTAAATACATCGTTTTTCCAAATAGTGACAAACGACCTAAACACAACTATGAAATTTATTAAATGAATGTTTCATAATATCAACCGATGGCTTATGGTTGTCGAAAATAAACTAAATTCTTATAGTGTGTGTCACTTAATCAACATGAAAAACAAATATCAGTTGATTAGTAACAGTCTATTGATGGATGACACGTTCCCATGGCCTATAAACCCACAAACAATTGTTTTTTTCATCTTATGCTCTGGTTTATTGACGACATAAAACCATTAGTTAATATCGACGACCACCATCTTATTCCTGGACAAAAGCTTCTTGGTTTGTCTGTGATGAGTCCTAACGGATACCTACAACTTACAAATGATTTTTTTTTTTCATCTAACAAAGATGGTTGTAGTTTCTCGGTAAACCAACGGGAGATAAAAATCTTCGGTAAATTCGTCATTTGTGCTATTACTAACAAACTATTTTCCTATGCCCTAGTTATCCATCAAAAAGTTAGAAAATTATTAACCGACAGTTTCATAATATTAACCGACAGCGTATAATCATTTGAAAAAGACTAAATTCTTGTAGCGTGTGCGCCACTTAATCAACACGACATTTAACCCAATAATTTCGTGAAGAAGTTGAAGATTGTTAGCCACTATAAAATATCTCAAAAAGGCTAAAGTGAAAGGCAAAACTAAAAAGAAATACAACCAGCAAACTTTAGTTTTGACAAAAGCCCTCATTACACAGCCGACACAGCCTTCATGCTTAACAAAAGTGAAAAAAAAAGGTATCCTTTCATTGCACGAAATGGAGACACAAAATGAGGCAAAAGATAATTTGGACCAATTTATAAATAAAAATTTATACTAATTTCAACTTAATATTAAATTTTTATATATATCTTTCATTATTTTTAATCACTTATATTTGAAGCAATAATTTTTTCCACACTCAAAGATTTTTTTTTATCATTATTTTATGGTAAGAAAGATAGTTAATAATTGTTGGTTGCTACCATTGATTTATATTATCTTTGGTGGAACATCGACTCAGATAGAATATTACGTGCAGAATTAGTTCAAGTGGATTAGGAGAGTACCTCCAAGTACCTGAGTACACTTCGAGTACCCTCCGAGTATCTTCGAGTATCCTTGAGTACTTCTGAGCCACTTCAAATACCCCCATCCGCCTGTATAGATCCATCCGCACGTAATATTTTTCCCGACCCATGCAAACCTTTGACAATTAATTTTTAAAGACTTAGGCCTATTGACATCACTATCTACATATTGAGCTATCTACAACTCTAAGAACCCAGGACTGAGTAGCTCACCATTAGCCGAATAAACTCTATTTTCACCAAGTCAATTTCATGTATCACCTATAGTTACATAACAGATTCTTGTTTCTGCTATATAACATATAAATCAGTCCATTATATAGAATAAAGTTGAAGGTCAATTATTAATAGGCACTTAAAAGTGAGGAAATTTTATATTGTGTGTGGATGACTGCATGTCTGGACAACGAATTGGATGTGGTCATATCGCTGTGAATCGCACGAATGCCCGCATAATATTTTCTCAATATGTTGAAGGAAAGATGTATAGATTAATCTCAAACCCGTATTGTTGCTTTAAATTTATGAAGACTTGTATTTTGTAGAAAATTAATCAAAAAATACCTTTTTATAACTCTAATATTTGTCATGAAAAATCTTTAGAGAACATTTAAGAAAATAAATCAGTTGTCTTCTAAAAAGTAAACTACTCCTGTGACTATTTCTCATGAAAGTGTCATATTAGATTAACTTAGGGATTATTATTTCTCATGTAAGAAGATGACATTCTTCTTCTATTCAATAGCCTTATAACATTTGTCATTGGATTAAGGGATAAAATATGGATCACACCATGTCGTGTGCACAGCGAAGTGGTGCGATACACATAGGTTTAAAAAAATATAATATAAAAACAAAATATTCTCTCATGATTTCTATCATATGTTTATATATATAGATATATAAAAAAAGTTCATTTCAAATCATTTTATTAGGTATGATAAGGATTAATGTGCAACAAAGAAGGTATAAAATTGAGTCTAACGCATTAATATTTAAATATACTATCAACTCAAAAATTTTAATAAATTTTAGGTATAAGAGCCATCAATTTAACATTCCAACATCACAATATATTTCGCGTGTATTTAACATATGGATAAAATGTTATATTCGTCAACCTGACATATTGATAACGACAGTGAATCATCCCCTTGTACTGTCATCCAGACGTAATATTTTCTCTAGTGATCCATCTCTATGAATATAACAATAATCATGCATGCAAATATTATATGGTTTAATCATTATAAATTACTACTACTACAAAAATACTGAACTAACAAAAAAAAAAAAAGTGAAGCACAAAAAACCACAACCAGCAAACCTTCCTTATAACAAAAATTCTCCTTACAAACCCAACACATGCGGCCTTCTTAATAACTTAAAATTAATAACTTTTGAGCCTCATTAATCTCCTTCACCAATCAATGAATTCAATCCCAAGCTTAGTTCAGTTCCGGCCGGTGATCCGCCGGCGGCGATAGTCATACTCAGGGGTGTCACCGTCAGGCACCAACTGTTGCTTCACCAACTGCTCATAGAACCATTTTATAAACTTATCAGCTTCCTTATCTATCATGCCTCCATTCCCCACCTCATTCTCGTCCAAAGGGAAAGGAGAGTCAGTTATTCTCAACTCCCTTACCATCACCGGAGACGGTGTCGGCAAAACCGACAACGCCGCCATCGAGTCCGCATCGGAGTCCTCCACATTCATCATCTTAAATGCCATGGCTATGTCCGCCGCGTCGAAGCTTTCGAAGTCTGCACGGTGGCGACGGGTGGTCTTCCTCTTGGCCAGAGAAGGGAAGAAGTAAGGGGTGTTGCTACAGCTGAATTCGACTTCTCTGGGGGTGGTGTGATGGTGGTGGTGGTGGAAGGTGGTGAGGAGGGATCCGAGGGCTTTTCCAGCGAGCTTGCTGCGCTTGAGGAGGAGGTGGAGGTCCAACATGAGCTTTCTTTTGGATATGCATTTGCGTAGCATGTAGTAGACTACTTGCACTATGTGCCGTAGTCTCTTGGCTAAGGTGTGGGGGTTGCTTGGTTCCATTTTTGTTTTGTGTGGGGTGTTTTCTGCAATTTTTTTTTATATTTTGGGGTGTTTGAGAGAGAGAGTCTGAGGGAGGAGCAGGAGAAAAATGGCTTCTTTCCTTTCTATGGGTTTGGATGAGTGGAAGAAGGTGAGGGGGGAGGTATTTAAGAAGGAAGGAGGGTTTGTTCCGTGATTATCTAATTATTGGATGCTGTTTTTTGAATAGTCTCAGTTAAGAAGCCGTGAATCTCAGGGTTGCTGAACCTTATTAAAAAGTAAAGTTGTTGATAAATAATTTTATGTTTAAGAAGTTGTGGTAGCAATTATGACCTTTTCTTTTATTTGAAGAAGTTGGATTTATCACTGCACTTAATCAGGACAGATGTGAAACACAGATTTAAGCTATATTTAAAAAAAAAAAACAGTCAAAATAGGGTTTGTGGGGGTTTTTTCAATATCCATTGAAATTCTCAAATTAATTTGAGAATTCCAATGAGTATTGAAATTAATTTAGGAATTCCAATAAGTATTGAAAAACCCCAACATTCTCCCACTTGATCCATATAGTTCAACACACACCATATAGAAAAACAAAATATATGAATCATGGCGATAGATCCTCTTATAGTGAGTATTATCTTTCATGTATTACACTATATCAAATCTCTCAACACTATCCCATACAACTTAATGAATAAAACACAAACAGACAAAATGGTGGAACCTCAAACGAATTGACTAATATTTTTCCGTCATTTTAGGGTTAATTCATGTGAGAGTGGCAATTGATGATTGTCACCTATAGAAATTTTTTTGTCTCAGAAAATACTGACTATAAGATTATTATAATAGACTTAAAAAATGGGCTTATTTATTTATAAATATATTATTTTTTTTTCTAATATATTTTAATTAAACTGTTTAACACGTTATGATAATGATTATTATTACTACTATTTTTTAAATATTGAAAAGCAGCAGCAGTTTTGTTTCGCTCCAATTCGCTGTAATCAAACAAAGCCTTAAAAGCAATAACTATTATTTCTCTTTGCTTTCGCTGAAAAAGCAAAGGGGGCAGTGTTAGAAACGTGGTCCCGTCAATATACTTTTTGGTTCATTGGAGGATTAATCATAGTTACTTATAAAATATTTTACCTAATTTTTTATATTATATTATTATGTATGCACTAACAATTAATTATCATTATTATTATGTGTAAAAAATATCTATATCATGAGATAAAAAGAATCTTATCAACTCGATTACAAATAATAATTTACATAAAATAAATGTAAGGAAATAGTAGAGGGAAAGGTATTTCATTTTGTGCATGAAAACTTTGAAAAATCAATGCAAATTGATCATTTTCTCAATGATCTAAAAAGAGCTAAAAAAAAATATCATGTAGATTCTCATACGTTTTTGGTAGCCATTACAAATTCTAATCATTTTGAGATGACATTTTTGAGTTTTGAATCTGAATTTGTTCTGTGAATCACACTTAAGAAATAGAGCGTAGAAGATGAAAGATGGGGAAAGACGGAAAAAAAAGAGAATATGCACAAGAAGAAAAAAAAATGAGAGAATTGAGTAATATTTTATTCATTAAATGACCTCTTATTTATAAATAAATGGGGTGTAATAGATGAAGTTACATTTATGCGCCTGCGAGACAATATATGTTATTCTAGGTATTTCACTCTTGTAGGCCCAGAGTCTTGTTGCTCTCAGGCTTGGTTGGTTGGGTTTGGTAGGAGTTCATCGAGCTTTGTCAATCAAATGGATCTAATAGGCATTGTCAGTAGGTCAAGCAATTGAAGTCATGGGCCGTGTATAGTTAGGGGGCAAGTGACTCAGCTTATGCTATCAGAATGCTAGATCCACGATGCTACTGATTGACATGCCTTATACTAGTCTAGAGTCGGTAGAGCTGATTGCTAAGTCTCACTGATCGGTTGGCCAAATGGCCATTGGCCCTTGAATCTCGTCGAAGAACTATAGTCGGCTAGGTTGTCGGGCAAAGAGTGAATCATTGTAATATGACAGGCAACCTGTTCTTAAACACAAAGTTCTTGGGAGAAGGTTGTTGGTCATCCCCAATGTAGTCATAGGATATGAGGAATCGACCCCTTCTTCGGGCTTGATTGCATCGAAATATTAGGTCAGACTAATCATTTGTCTTATGATTGGGAGCCGTTCGACCATGCCACATACTCATCTTTATAACAATTGGCTTTGAGTTTGGCTCATCTAGGTCCCTAGGGTCTTCTATCAAGGACTCTACCCTCTGACATTTATTTTCATCACCCAGACAGTCAAATCTCCATGATATTCATGCTAGCAAAATTTCTCTGTAGATTGCCAGATCTGCAAATTTGATTTCCTACAAAAAGTTTGAGAGACATTAGGTTTATAATTGTTGAGGAGTGGGTGCCTAAATATGGCATTGCTGGTGAATGTTGCTTGGAGCGTTAAGAAATCCTTAACTTTCCTACCAGTGACATTTAAGGGTGACATCAAGCATAGCTACCCCTTCTACCATTCTCTCCTCTTCCATGGAACATTGAAACTAAATACTTCCTTATAATACTCGTTAGGTAATTATGGTGGGCTAATCCTCTTGAGGTGATGGAAGGATGGGGATGGTATGCATTCATGTATGTATGTATGTATGTATGTATGAGGGGCTCCCTTTTTTGTGGTTTCAAGTAGTAAAAATTTGATTTAAGTCCTCTCTAAAGTATAAAATTCATTTATATACCCTTATTAAGAAAACTTCCTAGCTCTCTCACTAAATGTGATGAATTATTTAGCAAAAATTAGTTTGTTTGATTAAAAATCTCATGATAAGTACCAGATGTCAAGTACATTCATTGAATACAAACTACCGATAGCTTGCCTCAACTCATTTCAATTTGTTTATATTTAGGCTGTAAACATGCTGTGTAATTTACATTTTATGTATTACTTACAATGAAATATTTACTATAGCATTCATGGCTACTAAATGCACTTATAAATATGGGATCTTTCTCTTTCTTTTGTGGGGATTCTCTCCCTTTTCATGAGAAATCTCTTTCTCAAATCTCTCTTTTTCTCTCCGAATTTATATAATTTGATCATATCTTTTTTATTTGGGAGAGAAAATGACGTACAACAACAATGTTGCACAACATGTGCACTTAATAAATTTTTTTCTTATTTATAGGATTATTTTTATGCTATATGTTCTAGCCCTTAAATATTTAGCAAACTTTACTTGCTTTGCTTTAGATTCTTTCATCTCTCATTTTGTCCAAACTAATACAAATTAGGCATAAATACAAGACTTAATGTGAATTCAGACATTCACGGTATAAAACCCCTCAGATCGGATGTTCAAATCCCCTCAATCACAGTTGGCTTTAAGGAGTTGTTACTCGAATTGGTTTACATCCCCGGTGTAAGACCCCTCAGGTCGATGGTTCGAATCCTTTCTAACAACGTTGGCCTTAAGAAGTTGGTACTCAAATTGCTAGACACATTAGGAGTGGCTACAAGCTCTGGTCATTTCTTTTACTATATATATATATATATATCAGATT